GTGAAGGGGAGGGTAGCATTCCAGTGGATGTGAGCTCTGCAGGGGCCCCATAGGCACAAATAAATAAAGGTGGGCTGGGGATGAGACTGGAGGATCCATTGTTCCACGACTCCTCTTTTCTCTCTCCCTAGGAGGAGGCAGCATGTAATGGTCCTAGGGACTCCTGCTGCTTCAGGGGTTTCCCCACATCCCCCTTGTGGAGTTACCTAGCATGCAGATCAGTAGTCAAACTTTTTGCTATATAAGACCCTATTCCAGCAACACACACAAGCACACGTGTAACTTTAAGTATAGAGGGACTACTCACATGCTTAAAGTAACACGTAGTTTTCTGGATATAGGCCTTTGTCTCATGTGAATTGTATCACATATAAAATGTTAAAGAACTTGAATAAAATTTTGAAAATCATTCTATTTCAATATGATATCATAGTACATAATATTTTTCTATTTCTCCTTAGTCATTTTTCATATCTGAGACAACTTGCAAGAAAACAGTAGATTTTCTCTCTAAAGCCTTGTTGACAAAACAGTGGAGGTGTACACACTGAAATGCCCCTCCTGCCGATGTAACTCCCCTGCTATGCCGACATAATAAAAACACCACCATGAGAGGAATAGAGCTTATGTCAGTGTAGTTAGGGCAACAGTGTCTGTGTAGGCACTGTGTTCTTTACATTGGCTGTTGGCTGTCATTCTTGTCAATTTCACGGCTCCAGCCATGAAATTGACAAGAAAGCTGGCTCTCTGGCTGCTGCCTGGTCTCTGCTCTCACCCAGGCTCTCAGCTTGGGCTGCCACCCTGGCTCCCTGCTGGGACTGGGAGCCCTGCTGCCCCCAGGGTCCTGACTCCCTGCTTCCTGCCAGGAGCAGCCAATTGGACTCCAGGCACAGATCTTCGTGCCAGAGGAGAGAAGCCCTGAGCGGCTTTCCTCCTGTTCCTGGTAGGGAGCGCGGAGATGAAAAGCTCCATGACACTGCCCCCTCCACCCACTCCCAGCTGGGAGCAGGAAGGCAAGAAGCCCCGGGTGGCTGCTGGGCCCCTAGTGCAGAGCTGCATGGAGCTGAGAGCCCTGGCTCTCGGCCCCAACACTGCCCCTCTTCAGTCAGTGGAAGCACTCCTGGTGAGGGGACACGCCACTGACAAATGGAGGGTAGTGTGGACATCAGCCACCGCAGTAATTAATGTTACGTAGGGTGACCAGATGTCCCGCTTTTAAAGGGAGAGTCCTGTATTTAAGCCCTCCTGAAGGTGTCCCACCTTTTTCTTAAAAATGGGCAGATTGACCGGTATTTTCTGTCCCCCTCCCACCCATCAGTAGTGTTGGCCAGATCTCCGTTCGCCAGCTGCCCGCCCACCAGCGGTGAGTGGGGGGGGGGGAGGGCGGCTCCAGTGGCCGACAATGGGGGGTGGGTGTGCAAGACTGGTGGCGGGGCAAAGGTGCAGCATGAGGCCGGCTCTCGGCTCTCACCCCCCCCGGCACTGGCTGCGTGCTGTGGTGGCTGGTGAGTGTGGGCAGGTGCCAGGCGGTGGCAGATTATGTGTCACCTCTGCTGCCCACCCATCTGCCTTTTATGTGCTTCCCCTCTCGCTGTCCTCTCCCTGCTTTGCCCCTTGGCCCGCGCCCTGCTGTTCCTCCATATCCCCTACGGCAGGTCGCGTCCCACTCCCAGTGCTGTGTGGAGAACCAGCTCCTGGCGGGAGCGCTCAGCTCACCAACAGCCTGGCTGGCAGGCTCCTTCCTTCCCCACTGCCTCTGGCTGGGCTGGCGCCCTGGGAAAGCCCAAGGCCCTCCGGCCTGGGACACTGGCCTGGAGGAGCTGAGCCCTGCATGTGCCAAAGCCCAGCACAACGCTGGCATCGGGGAGCCTCTCCTCTCCTCAGCTAAGCTCTGGAGTGGTGGGGAGGAAGCAATTTCCAGCCTGTTCACGCCCTGAATCTGCAGGCTCCACAGCAGCCCCTTTCACCCACCCACCCCCGCTCTGGGTCTGTCCTGGGGGCCCAGCCAGGCATGGAGGGCAGAGAGCACTGGGCAGGGAGAGTTAGGTCCGTCGGTCACCTCCCCAATGTAAGGGCTTGTCTTCACTACCCGCCTGGATCAGCGGGTAGAAATCGATCTCTCGGGGATCGAATTATCACGTCTCGTCGGGACGCGACAATCAATCCCTGAATCGATGCGCATACTCCACCAGCCCAGGTAGGAGTAAGCGCCGTCGACGGGGGAGTCACGGCGGTCGATTTGCCACCGTCCTCACAGCGGGGTAAGTCAGCTCCGATACGTCGAATTCAGCTACGCTATTTGCGTAGCTGAATTTGCGTATCTTAAATCGACCCCCCCCACCCAATGTAGACCTAGCCTAAGAGAGGTGTATGGGAGTGTGTGTGTGATCTCTCCGTGTGTGTGTGTGTGAGAGAGAGAGAGAGAGGGTAGGGGTGCGTGTGTCACCCATCCCCGTGTGAACCCTAAAGCCTTAAAGCTAAGAAGGTAAATAAAAAGAATCCAACTACGCAGTATTTCTTTTTAACAGGGGCTCTGTCAACTTGATGTTAATTTGAATGTTTGTACTGCATAGTTTTGATTGATTATCGTTGAACTCGCTTGAATATGGGTAATTATACCAGGCATCCCATATTCAGGGGAATATGGTCACCATACCAATAAGTCTTTTGAGGGAGACTTTCAAAGCTAAATAACTTTAATGACAGCAGTGGCCTTGGCCCAATAGACCTACTTAGGAGGAACAATATGAGTCTAAAATTAGGCTATAGTTTTCCATCATAAATATTACATTCTTATTTTTTTAAGTGCTCAATTTTTCTGCTGGTGACTGCTTTGATTTGCATAAAACATTTGAAGGGTACTCTGACCTTTGATTGATTTGAGGAACATTCAAAATGTGTAAAATTAATGTAGACTGAGGGAATAAAAAGAAATATAGAGAACTGTGGTGACTTTTGGTAATATTTATGAAGAAAGTTCTAACATTTCTTTTAGTTTCATTAAAACATATTGATTTTTAAGGTTAGATGCACATTATATGACTTCAGTTTTTTCTGTTATTAAAATTACTGTGTCCTGTCTTTCATAATGCATTTTATAATTCTGCCTATGCCCCAGAACATTGCCAATCTAAAAATGGATTTCTGAACTACACTTTTAAGGATAAATATTTAGTACAACACATTACTTTAAGGATGGATTTTAAAAAGGAATCAGCATTGGTTCAGATCTACTCCCACGGAGCTCAGTTGCAAAACTGTCATTGACTTTAGTGCGAGGAGCAGAGTTAAGCCGATACTGAGCACTTTTGAAAATTCCACCTTAAATGTAAAATACTCTTTATTTTTAAAAGGCCAATTAGTAAAACATTTTTAGGGGGGGGAGTTTAAACCTATTATTAATGTAAATGGTTTAATGAATCAAATTGTTTTCAACAAAAACAGTAGTTAGCTTGGTTTTAAACATTCCTATGCACTGTTTGTACCCCAAGCACTGCATGCTGAGGCATGAGAACCACTGCATGAACTACTTGTTTATGCAAACAGCAAAAATGGGAAAAAATAATTGAATGTATTAGAGATAAGGAAGGGAATTTGATTTAAAAAAAAACCAACCAAACATTGGCTTTTAATCTGACCAGTTCAGTTTTTAATTTATATCAGTTTGAGTACTTTTTCAGTCATATATTTCTTAAAGCAAAACTTCTTCAAAATAACTTTCTTTAGCCCCTTCCCATTTATAGTATATGCTAATTTTAACTGGAGGGAGGCACACTTTAAAATCAACTTAACATAAGACCCTGTGGAACTCCTTGCCTGAGGAGGTTGTGAAGGCTAGGACTATAACATGGTTTAAAAGAGAACTAGATAAATTCATGGAGGTTAAGTCCATTAATGGCTATTAGCCAGGATGGGTAAGGAATGGTGTCCCTAGCCTCTGTTTGTCAGAGGGTGGAGATGGATGGCAGGAGAGAGATCACTTGATCATTATCTGTTAGGTTCATTCCCTCTGGGGTACTGGCCACTGTCGGTAGACAGGATAATGGGCTGGATGGACCTTTGGTCTGACCCAGTATGGCCATTCTTATGTACTAAATCACTTAGCTGCTTTGGAAATACCACCCAACGTGACTAAAGGCATTAACCACAGAATGTTTCATGGCCTATGTGCAATTAGCTAATGTTCTCAGTCCATTTCCTTAGTTCAGGTGTCAACATCATTACAGTTTAAAACTGGCACTAAGGATTGAGGGCATGATTTAACATCTGTTGAAGTCAGTGGAAGTCTTTCCATTGATTTCAACATACTTTGGAACAATCTTTGAATCTTTATGAAGACTGGACTACCCTTTCATCACTAGATGTGGCTCCTCCGGATCAAAGTTGAAGCACATTGATGGGCTAATATGGGGAAGCTTGCACAGCTGATATTTGTAAATAGACTTATGTGTCCATAACTGTTCATCTGTTCGCTTTTCACAAGCGTAAATTAACTTCTTAAAAAATGACATTGTGGTGCGATGTTCATCCCTAACATTTTTTTCATAAATTGGAAACACGCAATGTTTATTTTAAAGCACTAGTATAGAGATTTTTTTCTTTCAGACTGAAAATTAATGTTGGATGAGACACCAACAGACAATAAATTCCATAGTGCAAATGTGTAGGGAAACAGGGATTTTCTTAAGAGCATTTTCTCAATAACATTCAAAGAAAATGTATGTATACCATCTTTGGAGCCCTTTGTTATAGTTGTGGAAATGCAGCCACTGAAAGCTGTAGCTCCCAAACAATTATTAACATGGTACTATACCAGTGTGAAGGAGCATCTAAGAGGGAACAAAATATAAATAAGAATATTCTCTTTTTATATTTTGCAGATATCTTGTTGAAGCTGAACATGTTCTCGCATCTCCACTATTGACGTCTAGCGCAGAATAGATATTCCAGACAGAATCAATTGATCCATTTGCAGTAGGACCATCGTACATTAATACAAGATGGAAGACACATACAAAGACAGGACTTCATTAGTGAAAGGGGCTAAGGACATTGCCAAGGAGGTGAAGAGACAAACGGTAAAGAAGGTGAATAAAACGGTAGACAAAGTTCAGGATGGGTATACACAGAGATCCTACAAACAATTCAAGGATGAAGAAGATGATGAAGACTACTATACACAAGGAGGAAATTATGATGGAGAAGCCAATGATGATGAAGGGTCAAGTGAAGCAACTGAAGGGCATGATGAAGATGATGAGATTTACGAGGGGGAATATCAGGGAATCCCAAACATAGGGCAAGGCAAGGATGGCATAGTGGCCCTGCAGCAGCCCATCCATGATGAATATAAGGACCGTCATGAACTGGAAACAGAAAGGAAAGCTGATGAGGAGGAGCTAGCGCAGCAGTATGAGCTGATTATACAAGAGTGTGGACATGGCCGTTTTCAGTGGGCCCTCTTCTTTGTTCTTGGAATGGCACTAATGGCTGATGGAGTAGAGGTTTTTGTGGTTGGATTTGTGTTGCCCAGTGCTGAGACAGACATGTGCATACCCAATTCTGGATCAGGATGGCTAGGTGAGTAAAATCTATATATTTCTACTGTATGACAAATTACATTTGTAGTCTGTCTACTTATTATTTTGCCAACACTAATGCTTGTTAAGAAAAATATTTTTTTCTTCTATTAAATGTGACTTTGCAAGTCACTAAATGTATTAGATGGCTGAAATGCACTTAATGAAAACAGTATTTTTTTTTATTTTTTTTTGTTTTTTATGGTCAGTCAACAAAAGTAGCTACACAAATACTGTTGAGATAGTCCTGGGTGTTTTCTTTTTCTCTGTAGTCTAAGGGCTTGTCTTCAGGATTTTCTGCATGGCAAGCGGGGTATAAATCTACAGTCCACTAGCTTGCCACACAGTAACTGGCTATGTGGACCTTTCGTCAGCACAATAGAAGTTCTGTAATGCGCTTTGACCTACTGTTGTTTGAAATTTTGCTTTCAATTACAGCAATAGACATCCAGAAGAACTATATTAAAAATATGATCTGATGAGTGAAGCTATTCTGGATTTACCATGGCGTAAATGAGTAGACTGTGACCCTACAGTATTAAAATGATTTGTTTCTTTTATCTTTATAGCGCATGGTTTTGTTGGAACTCTCTCATTTTCACGTTAGCTCAGTTTTGCTACTGTTTTAATTCTTGTCCTTTTGTTCCTGACTGTTTTGGAACTATCTGAATTTCCTAAATGTTCAGCATGTAAAAATTAGACTGTCCTACAAAATGTAAGTAATGACAGAAGCTGTCTTACTAAGGTATTTAGCCTATTTCAGATGGAATTCTCAACATTGACGCCAATAGTTTACTCGCTAGGTTTTAATACAGTGAATCAGATTCTGTTCTCATTTACACCCGTGCACCCTGACTGGCTTCTTTAGGGATGCAGGGGTATAACTGAGGGCAGAATTTGCACCAATAAGCATCCTTTAAGACAGTCTTTGCTTTTATATTAGTTGAAGGCTCATATACTTTGTTGCTAGAGACAAAAGACATTAGTTATTTGTGTGGTGCAAAGATTAGTCTTTCTTTAAAATTAATGAAGACATCTAATTGATGACCGAGATAGATGGCTGAATTCATACAACAGAGCAAGCTACCTGGCTTCTTCCATAGCAGCTAATTCCAGCTGATACTTCTCCACCAGAGAGGTCATGCTGCCTATATCGTCTCCTCCTGGGGCTCTAGTTCACATCTTGGCAGGAGGTGCTGCCATGACGGGAAGGTCCACTTTTATTACAGCCTCAGTCATCGTTCCCTTCTCCCAAACACTAATACAACCCTGCCATTCCCTCTGGGTTCCCACATTTTGAGCATGTTGCCCAGCAGCCAATTCTGGCTTTATTTCTTCCCTCCACTCAATCACAGTAGAGGTTGCTGTGACCATCATCACCCCCACGTGTTTCCCTGACCACCGGTAGCTGGGGCTAATGTATTTCTGTAACATACAGACTGTCTCCCCTCTTGACTGCCCATCTCTTCGTCTCTCTCTCTTGGTCTTCAGGGATTTTCTCTTCCCACCGACCTCATTATGGAAGGACATACCTTTTACTGTGTCCTGTCTCTCCGCTCTAAAATGTTTGGGTGGACCCTTACTCTGGGACCTTACCCTCCCATGCTTCTATTTTTTCTTATACGTCCCCCCACAGTATGCATACTGCTCCCTCCGGCACTCAAATCTTCTGTGCCCTGTTCTGCCACATCAGAAACACGCACAGAGATTACTCTCATGTAGGAGGCAGTGGTCTCCCTGCCAGCACTGCTGGGTCCCAAACCCCACCATCTGTACCTTCCACTGCATGTCCCACTCTGCCTTCTGCAGCTGCCACTGTTCCTGCAGAAGAACTGCCTATGTCCATTGCAGTTGTTCAGACATCAGATGAACAGCTTCCTCCAATTGCTGCACTGTTGCCACGTCCTTCCTTAATAGTAGATGACTCTGTCAAATCCTGCCAACTATGCCAGTTGTAGTGGACTGGCCACCTCTTGTGTGACCCTGCATGGCCTAGGGTCATGCTACAGGCAGCCTGCCTCAGTTCCCCCTCCTGGACTGTTCAAGAAACATAGACTCTTTTTTGTTCATTCCCATCCCTTCTTGAGTTGTGCACTATTAACTTTATTTTGAATGTTTGTTCATTTTTCAAGTCCAGCCAAAAGTTCACACAAACAAAAGCTTCTCTTTCTCCTCCCAGGACTTCCTGCCTGGGGCCTTTCCTGCTTTGGCAGGCCACTTTCTGGCCCTACCTGGCTGAAGTTTGAGCCCTAACTGTCAGAACTCTTTGCTAGAGCCTGCTCACCCTTAGCAGTCTCTAATCCCTGAGCGTTGCCTTCTTCTGCTGCTCTTCATAGGGCAATCATCCTGATCTCTGCCAGGTGTGGCTCATTCTGTACTCAAGGTTGGCTACACTGTTACAGTGGCATTAAAATGATTTCTGGCAAATCTTATCTAAGATTCATTACAGAAATGTGTATGAATTTATTCCTCAGAAATTATGTAAATAGAAACCTTGCTTCTAAAGTTAAGAAAACAGAACACACTTAATACTTAGATAGTTATATAGTAGTCTCATGCCTCAAATATGGAAATTACAATAAATGTTCTTGTATCTTTTTGTAGTAACAATATTAGATTCTGTGTTATATAATATTTATTTGGTAATACCTCTTTAAAAGATTAACACACACAAGCAAGGAAAATCAGAATTAAGCCTGCCATTGCAGCCTTACCTTCCCCTAATATGTACCAATGACACTGTGACCCCTTGGGTCATCATAGCTATAGGGCCCACAAAAACATAGTGATATTACCTGCCCCCTAGCAAAATGCAAGTGCTGTCGATTGCAATACTACAATACAAGTGGTGAACATTATATTTATATCCATTATATACACAGCCTGCATAGATGGAATAACTATATCCCCAGTGATATGTAGTATTCTTCAATATCATGAGACTCTGTGGCAGAAGCATTTTAATGGCATCATAACTGGGCCTTCACAGACATGCATTTCCATTATTTTGCTGTTATAAATTCACGTCATGATCACATCCTAACTGGGTCTTTTTAGACAGATCTTAAAATTGTTTTACTATTATAATTTCATAACTTAATGGGATTGTTAATGTTGTTAGGATTCTAAAGTTATGGCACCAGGGCTAAAAGTTGATGCAATTATTAGGAAGGAGATCTAAGAAATCCAACATATTCGTTAGACTCTAATTTCTGTAGAAATGTTTTCAATGATTTTCTTTCCATTGCCCAGTAGGTAGAAACTTATGTTTCTTGGAATTGCACTCAGTGCGGCAGCAGATACACTCAAGCTGATGTACTAAAAATATTTTCCCTTGAGGCAAAGCCTTCTCCTGGGAGTTCAAAAAGACAAGAAAAATACAATGTTTTCTACTGACACTAAGGATAAAAAGATATCAATCTGTTTCCCACTGAATGCTTCCTGACTACTTTAGCAAAATCACAATGGAATTGCCTTCCTTGTAGATTCAAACAGAGCATCTTAGCCTCAGTTTATCAGATCACTCAAAGGGAGAAAGTGTACTAGCCTGCCTTATGGGCAGTGTTGTTGTGATTTTGCTAAATTCAAGCTGGTGGACTGAGACCAACATAGTGAGGGGCAGAGAGAAGGAGGGGCCATGATATCACCTCAAGATGATGTATAAAGCCCAAGTATCACACACAATATCATGTAGTCAGTCTATGTGAGATCTCATGCTTTTCATTGTAAGGGGGAGAATAGAAAGAGATGACTCATGAAGGAGGAAACCATTGTTTAGTTACACATACTGTGATTCATTGATTATAATTTATTATCGGAGGAGCTGATGGCAACCATTTATGTTTATGGTGCCTAAAACTTTTTGTTATAAAAGATTCTTATGACCTTTTTAGAGAAGCTCTCACACCTTCAGTGTTTGCAGCAGTTCTTCGTAATTTGGCAGGGAGAAAGCCTTTGGACTAGAGAAGTGCCTTCTCTTTGTTCCAGGAAATTCCATTCATGTTTAGCTGTTATAAACTGTTGACAATTGCCATTTCCAAGCGCATGCTTCCTTTGTCAGCAAAAATGTTGGTAGCTTGCCAAAATAATAATTGAACATGAACATTCTAAAGAAATGGGCCCATGCTGACACTGCCACCTCCACAGCCACAGACACTGCACTGAAAATCCTGAAAACAGACAACTTGCTGCTGTCAGAAGAACTGTAGTGTGGAGTGGAAGAGGCGAGAGCCAGGTCATGCTCCCCTTAGCCCCATCAAGTGGCACTACATGGGACAGGAGTCCACAATCTCCTTCAGCAGGGAAAAGAGGGAGCCAGTCTGAGCTCCCCCTGACCAAATGCTGGATCCAGTACCTGGTGCTAGCAGTCCATTTTCCCCTGCTAGGGTACACCTTTCTCTTGCTACAAGCTAATGTCTGTAGCTCAAGCTAAGTTGCAGTGCTGAAGGCCTAGAATTCAAAACTTACTCATGTACATAATAGAATTAGTGTTTACCTTTTTCCTTAAAAGCCCTATAAACTACTTACAAAAAACCCCTATATTAAAAGAGTGTTACATAGATTGCAAAGTCAAGCACATGAATGTTAGAAAATGCAAGAATTTATGTTGCCCATCTGACCTTAACATGGCCCCCTTGTGCCTATGAATTATGATAGTCTTTAATTATACACTATTTTTTCCACAGGGTCTATCTCCCCGCCGTCTCATTCAATGTCTAGGTAGTTCTTCAATATTTTTTTTATCCTCATCACTCAGTGTGTGGCCACTTCCTTATTTACTGCACAGCATCCAAAGCAAATAATACAGAATTATTAATTTCTCATGGGTGTCCATCAGGCTAGTATCTAAGCACCTCACAAATGCTAATGAATTTATGTCTACATCTGCCCAGTGAGAAAGGAGGTTTTGGGAGGGGTGTTTTTTTTTTTTTTTTTTTTTTTTTTTTTTTTTACTGATGAGGCCATTCAGTGGATCAGGCAGAGCTAAGATTAACACTAAAT